TCAAGAGTCCGAGAACAACCAGAGCAAGAGCAAGACCCAATTTCTACGAAAAATAGAAAAACTAGCCAGAGTGCTGTGGTGGGTGCCTACAGTCCCAGCTACTTGGGAGGCTGAAGCAATAGAGTCACTTGAGCCCAAGAGTTTGAGGTTGCTGTGAGTTTGAGGCACCGTAGCACTCTACTGAGGGCGACAAAGTGAGACTCTATCTTCAAAATAAAAAAGAAAAAAAATTCTCCTTTCTTCTTCTAATTAGCACCTTATTCTTCCAAGCCTAATTAAAAAGCCTCTTAGGAATTCTTCCATGGCCCACAGCAGGGCAGACCCTCCTTTATATGAGCCCTAGTACCAATTCAACCCTTACCACAATTAATAACTGATCATTTATTAATTTATTTTTAGACAGAGTCTCACTATGTCACTCTCAACAGAGTGTCGTGATGTCACAGCTCACAGCAACCTCAAACTCCAAACTCTTGGGCTTAAGCAATTCTCTTGCCTTTCAACCTCCCGAGTAGCTGGGACTACAGGTGCCCACCACAACGACAGGCTATTTATTGCTGTCGTTGTAGTTGTCATTGTTGTTTAGCAGGCCTGGGCCGGGTTCGAACCCACCAGCCCTGGTGTATGTGCTGGCACCCTAACCACTGAGCTATGGGCGCCAAGCCCTGATCAGTTACTTAATGTCTTCCATTCTCAAGGATAAAAATCCTGTCAGAAGCTGTGTTAAATGAACTAGTGATTAGGAATTTTTTATAAGAAGGCACTGACAGGACAAGCGGTAACCCCTTTCTTCTCCCCAACAGTTTCAGCAATAAAAATTCTCAGGTTGTATCCCTCCTCTGAGCTCCAGATCCACATACCCAACTGCTTAAAGGACATCTGCTCTGACATCCAACAGACACACCACGCCAACCTGCCTCAAACCAGACACCTCCTCTCTGCTCACCAACTCTTGATTAGAGGTGGTACTTGTCTACAGCAACCAAAGCTACAGCTCCTTCCAATCTCTTGCTTCCATCACCCCATCCCCAAGGCAGGCCTGCTTCATCTCACAACACCTCCTAAATTTAACTCTTCCACTCCATTCCTGCCACAGGTGCCCTAATTTAGGCCCTCATCAATTCCTACCTACATTCTGCAACAGCTTATCTGGTACCTCTGCCTCCAGATCTTAGCCTATAATTCATCCTTAGATTGCAGCCAGAATGATTAGTATTTATGTCTAAAACCCAGCCCAGCAAAATGGCTCACATCTGTAATCCTAGCACTCTGGGAGATCCAAGGCATAAGGATTACTTGTGCTCAGGAATTCAAGACCAACTTGAGCAAGAGTGAGACCCCATCTCTACTAAAAATAGAAAAATTAGCTGGGCAATTTGGCAGATGCCTACCATACCAGATGAGGCAGGAGGATTGCTTGAATCCAGGAGTTTGAGGTTGCTGTAAGCAAGGCTGATGCCACACTACTCTAGTCTGAGCAAGAGAGCAAGATTTTGTCTCAAAAAAAAATTAAAATACATAAAATAAATAAAAAATAAAGCTCTTCAACAGCTCCCTCATTCACATCCTTAAGTAGCTACCTGGAGCCAGAGGGTTTAATCCAACCTACAAATAGGGTTTATCTGGACCAC